CTTTCCCATGAGACCAAAACCAGGCCTCCCGGAGCTCAGAGAATCCTGGCCAGACTTTCAACTAATCTAGAAAGTGAGGAGCCTTTCTAGAGTCTTTAGAAGTTATCCAAAGTCAGGGGTCCCTCGGAAGCCAGCTGAGTAAGACACTAATGGTGACCTAAAGAAGCTCCAGAGAAGCAAAACCTGTGGAACAACAGCCCTGTGACCCGCTCCACCTGCAGAAGCAAAGGCCTGGGTGAGAATTGCTGGACTCAAGCCCCAGCTCACGTTCCTCAATCTCCAACTGCAGTCCAGGGAATGGGTGAAAGGAGCTGAGGTCACTGAACACACTAGCTCTGTTCCACGTTGTGCATTTCCCTGCTGGAGATGAAAACATCTCCTTGAAGCATCTCCTTACTGGGTTAGGCAGAGGATGTGTGAAAACACAACTCAGAGAGTCAATTGGAGAGGGCGGCTGTGGTCCTGCTCTCCAACAGTAGCCCAGTGGCAGCTTGTGGGAGACACAGTGGAGGGGGTGGGGTGCAGGCACCCAGGGGGCCATGCAGTGAGGCGGGCAGGCTGGGTAGGGGAAGGGACCTTCTCAGACCTTCTAGTCTGGGGCTTCGAAGATTCTGTGACTCGATAGCCAGTTCTGAAAAGTCATCCCATTTCTTGACTGTAAAAGTAACACATGCGTATTTTAGATGGCTTGGAAAGTATAGAAAACTAGAAGAAAACAAAACCACCCATAAATCCCATCCACCACCCAAAAGCCACCACCTAACATTTTAAGTGTGTTTCCTTTCATTCCTTTGTCTAAGACATTTTGGGGACATTTAGTATCATTTCTATTTGCAAGGTCCTGTTCCTCTCACTTAACACAGTACTTTAAGCATTTCCTCCTGTCCCTAAGAATTCACATGCATCAATCCAATAACTGTATAATAGTTTATCACAAGGTCGTATCATCATTTATACAACCAGTTCCCTGATGTGGAACATTTAGATTGTTCTCTCTTATTTTTCACTTTAAACCACATTGAAATATACTTTCCTGAGCATGGATTTTTCTTTCCAGATGATTTCTCTAGTATCAATTATTAGAAGTAGATTGTTTGATTCTCAGGGTGATACATTTGCCAAGTTGTGTACAAGAGCATTGAAGATGCCCATTTTTGAGAATCCTACTTTGACTGAGGCCATGCCAACATAATCGACAATGATAACTAATATTCAAATAGCCTGACCTGTGCCAAACGCTGTACTGGGTGCTTACCACATACTAACTCCCAATAAGCTTGCACAGTAGTGCCACCACATCTTACTTGTGAGGAAACTGAGATAAGAGAGGCCACCTTGCCCCCCAAGGTGGTCCAGGCGTGAGTATGGGAGCTGAACTCCACTACCTGTCTGTTCCATGCCTGCCAAGGGTGCTGAACTCACAGAGGTGCAGGCTAGGTACCCAGCCCCAAGGCTGGCAGGTGGGGCTGTGGGGTCACTGTGTGCCTTCCTGTGTACCCTAACTCCTTGGGGAGGTATCTGGATGGAGGAGGGGCTGAAAAGAGGTATGTCCAGGGCCTCCTGTGCTCCATCTGCCCCTCATGTTGCTCAGAGCTGGGTAGCCAAGCAGATGCTGATGGGATATACACAGCCCCCTCCTGGCTCCTCACAATATCTGCAAACATCTACCTCCTTTGCTATTTAGATACCCCAGACAACCTTCTCCTGGAGAAGCATTGCCCTGCTGTGCCATTGGAGCCCAGCTATATTTAAATCAACCAGCAGTGGTTGTTTTTCTTTCCGATTGGTCTCAGTGCGGTCGCAAGTGGAGATCTGGGGGGTGGGGGTAGAGAACTAGCTGAGAACACTAGTTCTCACTGAGGCTGAGAAGCCTGCAGTCTCGTGAGCCATTGATTAGAAGGGTGGGTGCATCTACTGGACCCTGTCACAAGGGCCCCCCATCCCCACACCCAGCACCTCATGGGAACAGGCAGAAGTGACAGATTCTCAAGGTTTTTGACTGTCCCAGGTCTCCAACTACATCACTGGCCACTGGGAGAAAGGACACTAAGCTCAAAGTTGTGGCCAAGGTGTTTGTGACTCTGACTTCATACCTGCATGGATAAGAGGGTACCAGTCCGCCAGGTTCTGTTTATGGAAGCCTAATATCACCCTCTGCAAAGGGGCAAAGTGTAACAGTTAGCACTGGTGTTGTGCCACCTGGTCTGCAGACCACCATCACAGTCACGACTCAGGGCTCCTGGACCAGCAGCCTCAGCAGCACCTGGAACATGTTAGAAATGCTCATTCTCAGGCCCACCCAGGCCTACTGACTGCTCAGAATGTTGGTGATGGGGGCATGCTCTGTGGTGTAACAAGTCCCCCAGCAATTGTGATCAGGCTCAGGTGTGAGGACTGGTGCCTCGCACCTCAGCCCCACAATAGCCCTGTCAGGCAGGGGTTTTACGGCCTCTGTCTTCTAGACAAGGAAAGAAGGTGCTCAGAAATGAGGCGACTTGCCTGAGAAAGTTTGCCCTACATCACAGGTGTGACCCTACCTCGAGATGGGAAGGTGGGATAAGGTGCCATTCAAGAAGGAGACTGAGACTCTAGGGTGTTTAATGCCTTCCCTTCTCAGGGCCTTGCATTTTGTACTCAGTAGATGGTGAATACTTTAATCTGCTTCCTTATTATCCATAATCCAGCAAATTCTAAGCGAGTGCTGCCAGGTGCTCAGCCTCCCGTTAGCCCTGAAAGAGAAACATGAGGCGTGTTCTTTTCCTCGAGGACCCACAGGTACGAACATTCGCCGGAGTCACACACGCCATGAACATCCACCCGGAGGGTTGGGCAGCCTTTACCCTATGATCAGAGGTTGGAGGTCGGAGAGGTGTCTGGTCCACAGTTCCCCAGATGGGAGGCCCGTGTTCCCCCAAAACACATGTTCTCCCCATTATTCCGCCTGTAGCGAGATCAGGCAAAAATCCCGAAAATCAGTAACAAGGGAAATGGCCCTGTGAGGTCTTAGTCTCTGTGGAGGGGCCCTGAGGGAGTATCAGCAGAGTTCAGAGAGAGCACAGGAGTGAGTGTCTGGGGCAGGCAGAAGTCCCCCTCGGAGCGTGCGACGCCCTTGGGAGGGGGTCTCGGGGATGGATGAGTCAGGGGCACGGGGTTCTCGTGAGCCTGGGTGCTAACAAGGTCAGAGCAGCGATGCTGTCTGTAGTCTGACCAGGTGGCATGTAGTGCTTCTCCGCCCCCAGCTGAGTTCTCTCCTGGTGACCGACAGGTCTCCATTCCCTGTGAACATCAGTCAGCCTGATAAAGAACAGGTGGAAATTAGAAATTAAGAAGCTGGGCTCCTCTCCCGGTGGTGTGCTGAAGCCACAGCGACTGTTTCAGTAGTACATTTTCTTCTCCTGCTAGGAAGAGCAATCTATTAGCTCCCTTTGGTGGTCTGGCCATTGTCTTAAGCCTGAGCTGCTTAGGTGGCCTGCTGATACTGGACACACCAGTCCCCTACGCCAGCCCCCCGCCCCCGCCCAAGCAGCCAGATGTCCATCAAGCCCCAGGCAGCTTCCCAACCGTACAGCTTCCTCCCTGAGAGCCAGACACAGATGCCTGACCACAATCTTCTCCTCCTCCTCTCCTGCCTCTTTTAAATTTGATTTTCCTAGAAACCCTCCTGCAGGGTGTGTCTGTGCAGGGTGGGGAATAGGGGGAACAGTAGTTCTCTTCACTCTAAGCCATGACTAAAGTGAGGGTATTTGCTGTCTCCTTAATAAACCACAAACCCCACACAATCCAGAGCTGACAAGGTCTCCCCACCCCCCAGCAGAATCCCCATGTGGACAGCTGTGTTTCATCTTGCTCAGCCGACCCTTTTATCCCAAGACTCATCTTCCCTTTAGGGTTTCCTGCTGTTTTCAGCTGCTGTCACCATCCTGGACATAGAAGGGTGCTCCATTTCTTTATACTCTGGCCCAAGAACAGAGACAAAGCATTATTCCTTTCACTCAGACCCCGCTGCTCAACTGAGGCAGAGCGGTCATGCTGTTGAACTAAGGCTGTGTGTGTGTATTAGTCCATTTTGTGTTACTATAACAGAAATACCTGAGACTGGGTAATTTATAAAGGAAAGAGGTTTATTTGGCTTATGATTCTGGGACAGCTGCATCTGGCATGGGCCTCAGGCTGCTTCTACTCATGGCGGAAAGTGGCAGCAGCCGGCGGGTACAAGAGGATCACAAGGCGAGAGGAAGCAAGAGAGGAGAGGGGAGGTGCCAGGGTCTTCCAAACAACCAGCTCTTGTGGGAACTAAGAGAGCAAGAACTCAATCATTACTTCCCCCTCTCCCAGGGAGAGCATTAATCCATTCATGCGAGATCCACCCCCATGACCCGATCATTTTCCAACACCGCCACACTGGGGATGAGATTTCCGCATGAGTTTTGGGGGGCAACACATCCAACCTCTATCAGTGTGTCTGAAAGAAAGACACATAGAGAAAACCTTGGAACCAGATACTTTGAGTTGTAACTTATGATGAGCTCGCTGTCTTCCCAGTCCCCTCCTACAGATGCCTAGATATGAAACGTTCCTGGGCAACACTCAGAGGTGTATGCAGGGAAGAGAGGCCCTTTCTTGACTCTGCCTTCTGAGTTTTGAATCTCTGCTTCCTCCCCAATTCACTGATGCAAGAATGACTTTCTTCTGCAGGGCAGAGAGGCCACATCCCCTTGTCACCTGGCCAGGCAGGCTTTAATGCTTCCGCCACAATGCAGAGGTTTGATGTGGTTGGTGTAGGGCAGCCCGCAAGGCTTCGATACCAACATCTGTGCCATATTTTTATACAGGCAAGACAGGAGAAGGGTCAGGAGGAGGAACACATGGCCAAATCATTTTACAGGGGGTCAGAGCAGTAGGACTACACTGCGCAGCACTTTGGCAGCCCTGGGATCAGGAAGATTGTTTACAAGGGCAATCAATTTGACCTTGAGACTGGCAAGTGCATTCTAACTGGGATGGTCAAGGTCACATTGTCCTCACCTGTCCAGTACCACCTTTCCTGTGAATTTCGTCCACAAGCCCAGGTGAGTGGACACATGCTTTCTTCTGCACAGATGGAAAGGACATTCATGCTGGAGAGTGTAGGCAGGTGACGCCTCCGTAGCATACATCCGGCAGCTGACTAGAGCCCAGCCTGTGACACACAGTGAGCAGGCATTACGGCTACTGGGTCCCAAGTGAGGGAGGCCCTCTGCCCCACCCAGAAAGCTCACTGGCTCTCCACCACCTGCAGACCTTCCCTCCTCGTCCCTCTTTCACCACCATGCCCACTTTCCTCTGCTGACATTGCCCACCCACTATCTCAGCAGGCCAGATGTGGGACCACCTGCTCCAGGAAACCTTTCCTGAGGACATGGAAGAACTATGGGCTCTGTCAGAGAACGACCTTTTCTGAACTTACCCTCAGATGCATTAGTCCCCGCCAGTTACACAGGAAGCTCCTGGCAGCAGGGCCTGGCCTTAACTACAGAGCATATTGCTGGAACATGGTAGGTGCTAGAAAAGTGTGCTGAAGGAAGGAATGCAGGAGCACCAACATGAGATGAGCACTCACTGTCCTGGGGCTGCGTCTGGTGGCTGAGCCCTTCTACAACATTCCCGGCACCTCCTTACTGCTCATTGCGATAATTTCTATAGAGAGTGTCAGCATCTAACTTATCCCACCCAAGTCCTGGGGATAGATGCCACCTTCCCTTCTTCCCTTTAAGCCTTGGGCTGGGCAAGTGCTAACTGCTCAGCTGACACTGGCTGGCTTCCAGGAAAAATGGATGGATGGGTAATAAACCATTCATTTATTTATTTGGGCCACTTATATTCTGAAACCTAGAGCTCAAATGCTACATCCTTTCAGGGAGCAATAATAGCAAATAAAAGAAAAGTAGATGTATTTGACCTTTTCTACCAGAAAGAAAAGTCAGTTAATGAACTTCAACCATCAACTGATTTCTGCTTCTCTTGCACGAGGATGTTGAGGAACCTGGAGCAGAAAGAAAAAAGCCCAGTGCAGGCCAAGAAGACTTTCCACGCCCGCAGAGGCCACGGCTTCTTCCCAGCAGCTGTCCTGCTCCTAAACCCTAATTAGACTCACCCAACGCCATTACTGCCTCAGAGCACTTGGCAAAGTGACTTCTCCAACCAGGTCTGTAGGTTCCTTGAAGCTGAATACTCAATAACTGGCACCACCTTGACGCACCATCAAGCAATAGATACCTTGTCATTGCGGGAACTCATTCTCCAAGGGCCACTGTGACAAACCTGAGTTTCCTGTCCTGATTTTAAGGCTAAAATGGTCCCCCCTCTCCCAGAACACCCAGGCCTCCTGTGTGAAGCTGTCCACTCACAGCTCTAAAGGAACTCACTCCCTGAGTCCTCGCCGGTGCCTGAATTCGTCCTCCTTTGCTGGGCCAGATGGAAATGGAAGTCAGAAAGGAGGGAGCTCCCTCTGGGACCCCTAAGGCAAGAGGGAAAACCATGTGAGATGGGCTGGGAGGTGTAGAGACACAGCCTTGAAGGAAGAAAGAGCTTCCTAGCACAGCGTCATCTGAAAACACAAGACAAGGGAGGCCCTTGGTGGCAAGAGACGAGTGTCACTTCCATCCCCAGGGCCAGCACCTGACTGCTGCTCTCCATTCACATCTGAGAAATACCACTAGCCCCAAGTACCCAGCTGCAGCTGAGGTCTTGTACTCCATTAGCTGCCCTCAAGCTGTCAACTGAAGCAGAGTGTCACCTGCATTGTGGGGTAGCACCTGTGTGCCCTGCTGCCTCCTAGGGACTGCTATCCTTGACCAGAAAATGGGGAGTTGACTTTGCTGAGGATGTGTGGAATCAGCACCGACTTGGCTGCTGCCAGTGGCAGATTCCGTGAGAGAAAATCCATGCCCAGCTCCACAACGTTGTGGATAGTGAAGGGTGCGGTTTAGTGAGTTCTTGGCTCCCCAGAAAGTGCTAGGCTTTCAAACATTCAACAATTGCCATTCAGTGCCAGGCGCCCAGCTGATGCTGTGAGCAAGACAGATGCAGTGTCTGGACTTGTGGAGCTTTCTGTCTGGTGGGGACCTTGTGATCTTGAGGAGAGCTGTGAACGAAAAGCAGGGCACCCTGGGTCTTCACAAAAAAGTGTCCTCTCATGCCTATCCAATCACAGGGCTAAGCAGCGATCCATTTCTGATCCTAGACCCAACTCTGGCCATAAATAACACCTTAGTCTACCATAAACCCACCCCCAAGGCTGCCCATAGATCATCCCCATCCCAATTCCTGAGCTCAAAATAATCCTAATCCCAACCTCATACTTATGCCTCAGCTCCAGCAAGGAATGGACTTTCAGGCCAGACTCTTTAGTCTGATCGCAGACCAACCCATCAGCTTCCTGGGTAGGATCTGAGCTCACTCCAGCCAGCCTTCTTCAAATGCCCAATATCACTGCTGCTGGCTGAATAGGAACAGCTCAAGGGAGTACAGCCATCGAGGGTGCTCACCCCGCCTTCTTCAGAGGCAAGAGCTCACACGCCTGGCTTCAGGAGCCTTGCTGTCACAATGGCAAGCAGACACTTGGGGAGAAAGCTGAGAAGTAGGGAGTGGTGAACACTGACATGGATGCTGAGCTTTCTGCCTGGAAAGCTTTATCTCTGTGCAGCAAACTCCTATTTATCCTTCAAGGGCCAATCTGAAAAGCCCTCTCTTACACCAGCGGTTCTCAGCCCTGAGAGAATCCCCTGGAGGCCTTGTTATCATACCCATTGTTGGATCACAGCCTTGGTGTTTCTGTATCAGGTCTGGGCTGGGGCCCAAGAATTTGTGTACCTAACAGGCTCTGCAAGAGGCCACTGGTCCAGGGACCGCTCTCACCTTCCCAGGTAGGCCTGCACTTATTCCTCTGTGCCCATTCTGGCCTACAGGGCAGTTGTGTCGGGCTGAAGATGGTCACATCCCTGGAGACCATCGTACTGTGCAACGTGTGCAGATTCAGCTGCACGCAGCACTTGGAGGGTGGGACCTGGAGAGAGCAATGTTAACTGAGGGGCTCTCCTGCCTACCATGCCCGTCATTGGGTGGAAGGAGCCCTTGCTGGGAGGCCCAGTTAGTGATCCCTGGAGGTCTCAGGCCGCACCTTCCTCCCAACCTGGCTGGCCTGCCAGAAGGGCATCTAGCATCCCAGTACAGAGATTTGGATACAGGGTCCCTAGACACAAGCCAAGAAATGCACCCAAAGTGGTCCAAGCCAACTGCCTCATCTGGAAGCCAGCTCTGCACTGGGTAGCGCCCTGCAGGACTAACCACAGTGACTGATTGCCTCCTGACTCTCATGGCAGCTGTACGACCCCCAGAAAACGATAGCACTTTTATGGAACTTGGCAGCAAAATGTGTCAAGTGGGGATAATTATAACTCTCCCCAGATGGGACTGTTGCAGGGACTGAGTTAAAACATGTTAAATGCTGAGAACAGTACCTGGCACATGGTAAGCAACTGCTAATTGTTTTTAAAAGAGACAATCACAGTCCTTTCTAATCCTGGATGCATTGGACAAACTAACATAAGGGCTAGTCTTCACCTGGAAGATTCCTAAGGGCAGTTCTGCATATTCGAGCTTCTGTAACCATCACGCCAACTTGAGTAAGATGCTATTCTTTCTTACTGAGTTGTGAGGTTCTTAGTGATTGATAAGGTCTAGCGCTCCATCTCTAAATCCATTCAGTGAGTCTTTATTGACACCTACTATGTGCTAGATACTAAGTCACAGCTGTACTTGCTCACGCTGGGTCGCAGAGTCCAGCATCGGCTTGATGCTGCCGCCGAGGACTCTGAACACCGCACCCCCTACCCGCCTGGACTCCTGGCGTGTGCGCACTCTGCGTCTTTGCTGACTGGGCCTTGCTTCAGCCTCTTCCCCACCCCAGGCTCCGTGCTGGCCCCAGGTCCCCGGCCTGGCTCTCCTGCTCCCCTGCTCCTGGCCTCCAGCCTGGAGTCCGTCTCTTCCCCCCACCCCCCAGCCTTCCAGACACCAACAACCAGTTTCTTATCAGAAAGAGGCATCTGGTGGCTATGCTGGAGAGAATGACCTCATAGCACTATAATTAAGGTGATTATCTGAGTGGAAATGACTATTATGAAACATCCTTCTCTTTTAATATGCGTAGTCGTTGTAACAGGAACATGGGACTTCCATGTTAACACTGATATTTCCATGGTATAATAAATCCTTTTTTTCACTCATCTCCCAGAGGAGAGGAGACATTCTGTGCAGCAGCTTAAGGTAATGTACAAGTCGCAGCTGTTCTTGAATTTCTAGCCCTCTGGCCAGATCACTGAGCAGCGAAAAAATATTCAGAAATTTGGATAGAATCACAGGATGGCCCGTCCCACAGGAGGGTCGATACAAAGACCTATGGAGGGTTCTCAGGGAGGAACCCCCAGGCAGGAGCCCTGGAAGGGGCTTCTAAAAGAGAGAAAGACAGAAAGAGCACTCCAGAGGCAAGAGCACAGGCTGGGTCCCTACCCACCATTGGATGAGCTGTGTGATGTGGGCCTGTCACATCTCTAAGCCTCAGTGTCCTACCTGTGAAATGGGCTAATAACACCAGTCAACTCACAGGATTGCTGTGAAGACCACATGATGTAGTTGATGGAGGGCAACCAAACCAATACCTGGTATAAGCGGACACTCCTCAAATGGTGTGTGTTAAACTCAACAGTACATGTCTTCATACACACCACAGACACATACTGATCATCTGCCTGGTACAGGCACCAGCCTCAGCACGGAGACACAGCAGGGAGCTCACATGGTCCTGGAGTGACTGGGGATTTGCACGGTGCTCTCCAGCTCATGCACCAGCAGAGTCTGGATCTGTGCATCTGGCCGAAGGTCTGTGTGTGCAACACACCACACCTGTCCACCTGGACACATTCACAGAGCTGCTCACATGTGAGCAGAGGGTGCAGGTACCAGCCTTGGTGCAGGGATATGGTAGGGAGCTCACATGGTCCTGGCGTGACCTGGTGGTTTGCACCATGCTCTCATATTGTCGGTGGCCAAGCAGAGCCTGGGTCCAGGTCTGTGTACCTGGCCAGAGGTCTGTGCATGCCCCATGCCATTCCTGTTCACCTGGGCCTGTTCACAGAGCTGCTCACATGACAGCAGAGAGTAGTGCAGGTTCGGCTGAAGTGCTGCCAGGTGTGGAGAGCCTCCTTCCCTCACCTCAGCCTCTTCTCTTCTGTTCCCAGAGCTCAGCCCATTGATAGCCTTCACCGTGATGGACATCGCCATCATTGCAGGTAAGCTGTCATTGCAGGGATGCTTCAAGCAGCTGGGAGGGTCAGAGGGAATACCAAAGGGACAACCAGCCTGAGGACTCGGGTGAGTGTGTCTGTGGCCAGGGCTTTACCTCCCTCAGAAGAATGTGGAATATGAGTCTAGCCCTGGTAAGAAATATCCAGTATTTGTCCTGATGAAGGGGGCGCAGCCAGAGGGGACAGGGGTGAGTAAGAGGAGCCTGGACCATGTGTCAGGAGGTGTCCTTCTCAGCGCTGTTGACCCATAGGGACTCAGGGGCTGGGGACAGATCCGCTCCAGTGACAGAGGTGTGGGTGGGAGGGTGGGAGGGCTGACCAGGGCTGCCTGGACTTCTCCCCCATCTCCCTCATCCCACGCTGTTCCCTTGCCCTGAGTCTCACATCCCATCCCTTCATCCTAAAGGAAATGCCGTCCCGCCCTTGCCTTGCTTTAAACCCTGTGCAGCTGTGACCCCAAACTGTGTTTCAGGAACAACCAAGTTTGGGTGGTGTTGCTTGCTCTGTGTCCTTCTTTGAGATCCGTGCTTCCCACTAGTTTATTCATTGCTCGGGGAACTCCCTCAATTAAAAAGCAGTAGCAGCAGCAAGCAGTCAAAGTTACCGGTTCAGTTTTCTCCAGCCTGGCATTCTCCACCTCACTGGACCACGGAGCTCTTCTCTTCTTACTGGCCGGCCCCCTCCTCACCTCCCTGCCCTTCCCGAGTCCCAACAGAGGTGAAAGGCCAGCCAATTCCCAGCACATTCCAGCCTTGGCACATCGTCCTCTGCAGGGATCGCCTCCCTCTTCAGTCCTCTCTGTGACCAGGTTCTGCTCCTCCTGCCAGAACTGTCTCAGTCCTCACCTCCCAGCAGTGAATGGGAGCAGTGTGGGTGGGGAGCGGCGTCCTGCCTGTGGAAAACACAAACCACAGCTCACGTGACAAACCCCCATGTGCGCAGTTAACAGCCCTCATCTTTTTTCCCCCTAGGGGGTGCACATAGGGCAATCAACTCTTCGCAGGTTTCCAGGACTTTCCAGGCCTTAGCACGGAAGGTCCCATGCCCCAGGAAACCCCTCAACTGGGACTGAGCTGCTTTGAAACATGAAGCTCTGAGTCCCGTGAGCCCTCAGCTTCAGGCCCCCACACGCATTACATACATTATGCACACACAGCAGGGACCCCTTATAGATGTGAGCCCCTCTAGCCAGGCTCAACCCTGGGATATTGCTCTATCCTGTCTGCAGAGTGCTTAGCGGAGGAAGGAAAGGGAAGAAAAGAAAGAGGGAGGGAGGGAGGGAGGGGAGAGAAGGGATCATTTTACGTGGGCACAGGTGAGGGGCGAGCTCTCACACCAGGCAGGGAGAAGCCTGAGGAACGAATGAAGCAGTCTGTCTGTTACAGCAGCACATCTGTCCCGACACAACCTCCGTGGGTCCTGACCCCCTGCCCCAGGTTCCAGGGCCCCAGACCAAACTGCATTTCTTCCCACCTGCAGGTGTGATCACCGCTGTGGCCATCGTTCTGATCGGCCTGATCTTCGTCGTACTATGCTACATGTACCGGCACAAGGGCACCTACCATACCAACGAGGCCAAGGGCACGGAATTTGCTGAAAGTGCAGATGCGGCTCTACAGGGTGACCCTGCCCTCCAGGATGCTGGTGACAGCGGTAGAAAAGAGTACTTTATCTGAGGGACATGAGACCTCACCTCCCTGAATGACTCCTCCGATTCCACGAGGGAAAATGCACCTGCACCCCACCACCACTACCGGCACCACCAGGCAGACCATGAGATCACCTGCCTCTTCCCAAGATACCTGGAACACTAGGTACCTGCCTGGGGAGGAAAAAAGGAGGACCCAAGCTGCATGAGGCCTCTCCGAGGGACCCAGTGAGGCAGCAGCCACCCATGAGGCCCGCCTTTGCTCTGCCAGGGAGAAAGAAAGAATGGGCACACAGGTCTCCCTGCACAGGATGTCATCTCATTGGCGTGAAAGTCCATGCTGGGGTGAGTGGGGTGGGTGGTCCAGGGGCTGGGGAAGCAAGGAAGTGAGTCATCCATACCCTGACTGGGATAATGGCAGTCCTTGACATTTGGGGGGAACAGCAGGTGCCAGAGCTAAAAGGTATCTTTGTCTCCCATTGATCCAGCTCAAAACAATTGGAAATAAATTTGAAATGTAACCGAGCACTCAGAGTCAAACGGCATTACCGTAATTGTCTGGGGAAACATAATCGCCACCCAGAGCTTGCTTCCCACCCACACGACTTTGTGTTCTCTGACAGCGTCTGTGTACAGGGGGCTGGGATGGTCCACTTCTGGCTCCCATGGGCCAGTTCTCTGAGAGCGCAGACCCAGACCGTGCAGCCGGCTCCTGGGCCTGCTGAGGAAGGGAGGACGAGTGACCAGCATTCCCTCCCCAACGTGGCACCAGCTGCATGAAACAAATGGAGGGGTGAGGAATCCCTCCAGAAATAGACTGTCCCAGTGGCCAGGGCCTTGGCTGAAGCATTGATTTTCTAATGCACAATTTCATAAAATAATGGACATGTTAAACAAATCTGAGTGAGCCCATCCTTCCCAAAATGCCGGTGACAATGGCATCGAGTGGTGCAGCACAGGCTGCAGAGCCCCACTCCCTGGACATGCATCCCTGCTTCCCTTTTCTGGTCCCAGGACCTTGGGCAACTTGCTTGACCTCTCTTGCCCAATGTCCTCATCCCTCCAGTGAAAATGGTGCTAGTAATGGAAGCTCTGTGAACCTGAGTCGCAGTGGGGAGGGCAGGCACCAGTGTGCCCAGAGCTCGGTGCTCACTACCTTCTGATGTCCGTCACTGGCACTGATCAGACAGTGTGTGTGTGTGTGTGTGTGTGTTGGTTAGCAAACATTCCCCATTGTACCACATCTAAATGCTTCCTGAGGAGCAGCCATGATTGAAAATGAATAGCAGAGAGAGAAGATGGATTCATTAACCGTTCCCTCCCATGCCAGTCTGTCTAAAATTCCAAACAGCTCAACAATCACTCAGAAACCAGCAACTCCAAGATTAAAGTCTGTACCCCAGGGGCCCAGGGTCACTTCAAGAGCCCGCTCCAGCTAAGGTTATTGAAGCTGCGCTGTCTCCACCTGAGAGTCAGCCAAAAGGTCCCTCATCTCTCTCCCTAAGAGGAAGATGGGGATCTAAGCTCAGCCGGGAAGGCCACCAACACAAGGAGCTGGAGGTCGAAAGGCTGTGGTGGGGAGAGATGTAGAGAGAGCTTGCAGAAGCTGATGATGGCTGGAGCCTGGTCAAAAGGCCAGACCCTTCTCTGGGTGACCTGAGCTCCCTGGCCCTGCACTTTCTCATCTATAAAATAAAGGACTTGGCTGTATCCATATGTCTCAAACTGTGATCTGTAGAACACCGGCATGGCAAAATGATTATAGAATCATTTCAACAAAAAGGTATTCCATGTGCAAATAAATTTGGAAAATGACATATTAAGGGAATTTAAGCCAGTGCAGGGCTTCTCAGCATCTTGACTGGTCCAATGTTGACAATGACTTGGGGGAGGGGAGCAGAGTAATGCAGCATTTCCCAAATGCATTTGGCCAGAGACCCCATTCCTTTACAGAATACCTGTTACAAACTTGTGCACCGACTATTCCTTGGAACACATTTGGGAGACACGATACTAAACGACCTCTCACATCCCTTTCAGTTGTGACATCACTGCAGAGTCTTGAGTGTAGGGGGGCATTAGCCCTTGTCTTCAAGGCTTGTGAGCACAGATGTCTGTCCAGTGGGCACAGAGGTGACACCCAGAGCCCACACACCACCTTGGTTTGGAAAAGGCTCCAGGAAGACAATGACCCTGGAGCCCCTGATCCTCCCTGGGGGCTGGTGCCCTGTGAGGAAAGGAGACTGGTCACTTGTCCTCCCTCCCTGGGCAGCCCAGGAGCCATCTTTTCTGCTTGTGCTCACAGAACTGGCCAAGGAGCCCGGCTCCCTGGCCCCTCTCCTCCCCTCCATTAACCTCTCATCCTTACTCTCTTTCCTGCCCACTGTCCTGGAGAACTACTGAAACCCACTGGGTCCTGGGCCCAGCCAGAATCAGGCCCAATAGCAGCAAGCAGCCCTGACACAGAAGCTGCAGGCCCGGGTCATCCAAGGTGGCCCAGTCCAGTTGCCATTGAAATAGAGCTCCCTACACCCTCGTAACATACGCTATCTGCTTCTGTAGAATTGCTTGCTTAACCTAAGTAATGCCATTTTACCCCCGTCTGACCTGCAGACTACCCCCGCCCCTGTGCATGAGAAACCATTGACTTTCTCATAAAAACAGAAACCGTTGCATAGAAACAGGAGCCATACACAGTGAACTAGTACATGGGAACAGGAACCATACACAATGAAAATATGTATGCTTGACTGCTCGAATGGCTCATTCTTGGCTTCAGTGACCTAGCTCCCTAGCTTGTTTTGTGCACCTGGACAAACCCGTGTGCCAATGGGATGTGGTTTTTGCCTTTAAAAACCACACAAGACCAAGGCCTGAGGCCATTCTCCCTTGGTTGCTTCTTGAGAGACGGTCGCTGGCCAGCTGGAGTGAATAAACTGCCCTTTTCTGCACGAGTGGCATGTAAGTGCATTCTACACAAGACCAAGGCCTGAGGCCATTCTCCCTTGGTTGCTTCTTGAGAGACGGTCGCTGGCCAGCTGGAGTGAATAAACTGCCCTTTTCTGCACGAGTGGCATGTAAGTGCATTCTTGTGGGAGGGTGCCTCACAACACCACCAAGAAGGGCGCTGTCACAGACTAACGGCAGAGGAGAGAGGGCCACACCGAGGAGCAGAGCAGCTTAATGAGATGATGCACGTGCACGCACACACACGTGCATCCAGTGCACACGAGTGGATGATAAATCACGCTCCCTCTGGTCAGGCGCCTGCTTGCTTTATCTTTAATCCCTCCCCCAACAGTGCACTGTAGTCACATGGCTCCTTGGAAGAGACATGGCTCAGTTGTTTTCCATTCCTGCCTGAACATTTTCATCATCACAGCAACAGGGATGACTCAGGAACCAACAGGACTTTAACTGGCCCAGTGCCACAAGTAGAACTACAGGCATTTTATGTTTACAATTTAACACGTCAACGTGATGTTATGAAAAGAGAGTAGTTCTCGAATCATACAGAGTTGACCAAAAATCTCACCTCAGGCAGTAACTAGCTCTGAGAACAAGAAAGAGTTGCTTAACTTCTCCATGCTCCAGTCTCCTTATCAACAACATGAAGATCAAAATATTTGAATTTTAGGGTGTTTTGAATATTAATTTAAACAAGGATATAAGCTTGCAAAGAACTGTAAAGGGTCTGAGACTTTACCCCACTCACTTTCAAGTGAGCGAGTTGGCCTGTGACAGTTTCATGGATGCTGGCAGAAGACACAAGACTCCTTGGTAAGACAAAGGACTGTGATACAGCCCAGCAAGCCGCGTGAACATCAGCGTATTTACATCAGATCTCCTTGTCCCCAAGTCCCATGTGGATGATGTGGATGGCCTCAGAGGATGCTTGCCCACACAGTGGTTTGAGTTCCAGAAGAGAAACCTCGAACTAAGAAAACCGGTATCTGTTATAATGGACGGTAAGCACGAAGGGAGCCCCTGTCTCTGTCTTCCAAGACTGTTTAATGAAAAGGTAGTCAGAACAAAGGGCAGTTCCTTCCTCACTCACCAGATGTGAAAAATTTGAGAGACCCGTGGAGGACTGTCTCCCCACAAGGTAAGCACTGTCTAACACATTGCCCGGCACCCTGAGAGTGCTCAGTAACTACTTTCTGAATGAGCAATGTGCTAAATAAATGGGCTCATAGCCCTTAAGGTATCCCAGACTTCTCACCAGAAAATCAGAAACATCTGCTTCTTAAGCCACATGGAGAATTTAATGTGGAGAACTTTTCTTCATCCTTTTGCTGGTGTGTGGGAGATAGGACTGCAGAATTTGTTGGTTTTATTGTCTTATGATCTCAGGAACACCTAGAGGCCAACAGCCATGGGAACGGTTTAGTTCACCGGAGGATCCATAAATCTAGATCCCTGGTAATGAGGTTGGGTGGAATTTGCCAGCCTCTATTTCTAAGATCATCCTCAAGTTGAGTAAGAGGTCTCTCTTGCCAATATTATAGGCCTCGAAGGAAGATTGACACTTAAAATATTCAGACCTCTCGGTCTTCAACTTTGAACCAAACACATGGGTCACCTTTTATTTTGCAAATAGCTGAAATTGTTACTCTTTTTCCTCCAAGTCAAAAAGAACTCAGGAAAGAGTTCTATATTCATCCGTCTCAAGATAAAGCACCCTCTGGGCCTCCTGAGATGCCTCAGATGCCCTGGGATCAGACTGCTGCTTCCCCCAGGGAAGGACCATTTAGTTCACAGCTGTTGTGCATCAAGCATTGCCTTCTTAAGGTGACAGGTGGAGATGTTAGGACCAAAAGATGGTAAGCACCCAGACCTCAGTCCCCAGGCAGCGACAACACTTTTATTTATGGCACAAACATTCTCTTAGTTCACTGGCCTACACAATGCCAGAGATCCAGAGCTGAAGGCAGCCTTGCCGCTGCCCTAGAGAACACTCCATAGGAAATATGTTAAAATCACTAGAGTTGCTATGGATCCACCTGAGGGGGAGATCAGGGAAGGTTCCTGGAGGAGAAGTTCTGGGCCAGGTTCCTAAGGAGTTATCCAGGTGAGGGGACGACACATGCAGGGAAGGAGAGGCAAGATTGGAAGCTGCAAGTGTTCTTCCTGGAGCACAAGTGTGTGTGGAAGTGACCAGGATGAGGCTGGGCCCAGAGACTGCAAAGAACCAGATGATGAGGGGCCTTCCCACCAAGATGTGGAGCTTAGATGTTGCCTCGCAGGGGATGACAGCCCTTGGAGGTGTTTACGGGAGGGAAGATGGTGAAGATATGGTCAGACTTGCAGATCATTTGGCAGCCAGTGTTGAAGATGAATTAGAATGCGCACTCTGGGCAGGAAGACAGCCTAGAAATTATTGAGGCCTGAATAGGGAAAAGCACCTTATAAGAGATCCCTCAAGGTGGAAGCAAAATCCTCTTTTGACACAATTGTGAATCCAACTGACCCTGTATTGGTTGTGGGGTGCCATGTACACAGAATGCTATGGCCCCTGGAGCAAAAGATCAAAGTGGACTTGTTGGGGTTGTGGATAGAGACTGCTCATCTGCATTTGGAACCAAAATCTTTATAGAACAAATCAAGTTTTTCAGTATTATATAGACACATCTGCAGCTCCTCTGGGACAAAAGACACCCAGCTAGAATCCCAGAGGGAAAACAAAACAAAGGATTCAAAAGGGCTCCCTTATAAAGCCTGCCCTATCTGTCATCTGAAACGCCAAAGAAGGCCATTCTACCCAAACTTTCAAAGCCAATTATGTCAGAAATTCCATATGCAAGTTTTCCTCTTTAGAAGGAGTACTGCAAAGCTCTGTGCCACCCTCGCCCTCCAGGCAGGGGAACAGGAGAATGGTGACGCACATGGTCTCCCTTCTTCTCCATCCAGAGCCAGGGGGTGGGAGAGCTGAAGGGGTGCTCAAGAACGTCCGCGTGGCGCAGGGGGATGGACACAGGAGGGCAGAGAACGCGGACGATCCCCACTTCACTCCTTTGCCAAGGCTCAGCTCTGACACCTTTCTCAGGTCAGAACGCCATTCCGGCCCATGTGGGAACATGATACAGAAAAAGGCTGCACTTGAAGTCAGGCAAAATACCCAGGAGTAATTTAGACAAAGTCACAGAAACCAATATGGGATTTATGTCCAACTGTCTCATTTTCCTGAGAGAGAGTAGTGGGCTCCTGCAGACTCCAGAGAAAGCAGGTTCCTCATATGTTGTAAATACTGGGACCTGTGCAATATTAGCATATGTGCTATATAGACACCTGTGCAATACCAGGCACCTGGGCAATACTGAGCACCTGTCCAATACTAGAAACCTGTGCAATATCAGCACCTGGGCAATACTGGGCACCTGGGAAAAACTAGGCACCTGGGCAATACTGGGCAGCTATGCAATACTGACACCTGGGCAATATTGGGCACCTGGGCAATACTGGGCAGCTATGCAATACTGACACCTGGGCAATATTGGGCACCTGGGCAATACCAATTCCTGGGCATCTTGGCAACACTTGCACCTGAGAAATACTGGGTACCTGCGAAACACTGGGCACCTTTGCAATACTGACACCTGTGCAATACTGAGCACCTGTATGATACTGGCACCTGGGCAATACTGGCAACATGTCAGTACTAGGCACCTGGGCAATACTGGCAACATGTCAGTACTAGGCACCTGGGCAAT